CCAAATGACATTAGACGATTAAATTCGATACAAAAGTTTAATTTCCAAGTAAAATCTTTATCTGCTGCACAAATGTTTCTATACAATTATAGATTATGCCGAGCATCCGAAAGGAAAGTAATATTAATTTTAAGAATAACATTTATTGTATTATATCCCATTTGGATTGTATAATTGTAAAGAACCTGTAACAAACATAGTACTTCAACTTCTGGGTCAATGACCCCATCTCGTCCAGTTTCCCTGATCCTCGAGCAAATGCTGAGATGGCCCCTTGTTTTGCTTTTGGACATAATTGTAACTTCAAATTAACTTCTCCCCATAGCACGTCACAGTTTTTAACTGTTTTTGACGTAAATAAATAAACAGCTGCCTGGAATTACTTCTCATATTACATTCACGAAGCGCAGGAAATTCGGAGCGTGTGACTGTTTGACGACAGATTTACACAAAGTGCAACCGTTCACTACCCGTTTCGGCAAGGGCTGTGTACCCAAGTGCTACAAGTCCTTATGCTGTGGAGAAAAGTCACGAAACTAGCTACAGGGAACTTTGAGACGACAGAGACTCAAGAGAGGAGCCTTCCCCACGAAAAGGGTAGGCTTTTCTGCGTGTGAATCGAAAAGAGAAGGAAAAAGGCTAAAGAATAAGTCAAACTTTGATGGAAAGAAAGCCGTTACATATTTTGATGTTCGTCATCAAAAAGAAAAAAAGAAGAAATATTGGCAAAAAATTGACGGTTGTATATAGTAAAGAAAGAAGACTGCGTCTTGTTAGATTTGGTTTGTGTTTTACCTGAGGCAGTATTTTCGTTATCAGCAGTGATTCGATCAAATTTTCCAAGTCAGCGTCATGAGTCATGATGTTGCATCGAAAACGCTGAGAAATAATACTTTTCCTTGAGTGATTAGTAATGTCAACAAGTTAATTTACATCTTAGACAAGTTGAAGCAGTGGCAAGAAAACTAAGAGAACTATTCTCATAGTACATGTGTGTACGTTTGTTAGCCAACGCCCACCCTTGGCAATTCTCATAGTGCATTCACTGCTGTAAATGATATTTTGAGCAGATTAAATAAATCTAGTTGATATGTGCAAGCTAGTTAACTTTATTATTATTTATGTCTGATTATTAATTATTGAACAATAGTGTTACAGGAAAAGCGCTGATTTGCCTGCTTCCTGCATGTATTTTGTTTTCTATTATCCCTCATTCACACACATTTTCGAGGAAATTGGGCTATATTGTCTCTCCACAACTACGAACAGTAAAAGCATGCAGATGAGAATATTTTTAAGTGTGCTAAGGAGAAATTTTAAACATTGCAAGAATCAAATTGCATAGTTTCATTAATGTTACATGGAATTTATATTGAATCTTTCTTAGACAACAAAAATGGAAATATATGTGATACAACATACAATAGTGCGATTGCTATTACTTCGCCTTCACCAAAGAAAGAGAATTTCACGGAGACCGAATTTCACTTTGGGATTAAAATATGAACGATTTGTTGAAATAAAAGACGCTTCTAAATATTCCCGTCAACTGCAATTCGCAACATTAGGGCAGCATTGTCAAAATTTATTTTGTTAAATAACTCCTAAACGACGCCTACTAGGGCCTTAAAATCTGAAATATTGACCCTGTGGCCTCTAGGACACATCCCTCGCACCGTAATCTGAAGAACGAGAGCTTCTTGGACATTCTATTACATTTTGCTAGTCCGGCGCTTCTCGATACTACCCCACATGTTCAGAAACTTGCGAGATCTGCATCTGTACATGAAATGAAACTAATTACTGATCTTCGAGGCGAGTTAATTGCACGTGTGGACGCCTCAGCTTGATAATAAAGTTCAATAATATTCCAAAGAGCAGGGTTGAACTTCTCGATCCTGAATTTTTGCATAATCAACTTTACGCTGTTTCTTAAGAGTAAAAATCTCTTCCAATACTTTTGTGACTATGAAGGAAAGCGAGAAGATAACAGTCGAAGGTTGACTAATTACTTCAAATGTTTTAAAGAATTGCTGTGAACTGTTCCAAGAAAATCTGTCAATAACACTGAATAATCCTTTATCCATAAATTCTTTCACACATAAATTTTATTGTTTGTTATTTTTATTTGATATTCTATAAGTACATGGGAAGGTAATTTAAACACTTTTACACAAATAGACATTTTTTAACAGCTTTCCCTATTAACATGGAAATGAAAGTTTAGAGAAGAGTGTAGAAGTTCAACATGCGAAAATATTCGCACGGGTACACTAATATTAAAATATTTGCCTTATCGAAAATTCCAAAGGTTGATATTTTTTTTCATCGTTATCTTACAACTACAGTGTTGGAGATACACAGATATATAAATTGAATATTCTTACCAAATATTTTTATTGACGTTTTTTGTTTAAAAAAGCTTTCTTTCACAATTCTCAGCAAATCAGTCATTATGAATTATCATTCCTTTTCTGTGGCTTAACAAAATGTAGTGGTGGTATTGTACGAATCAAATATTATGCATCGTACTATCACAATCCAGATGATGATGTCCTCCTCTTTCTCCTTTTTCACCATCTCCTTCACCGTCTCCTTCACCGTCTCCCTCTCTGTCTCTGTCTCTCTGTGTCTCTCTACCTCTCTCTGTGTGTCTCTCTACCTCTCTCTGTGTGTCTCTCTACCTCTCTGTGTGTCTCTCTACCTCTCTCTGTGTGTCTCTCTACCTCTCTCTGTGTGTCTCTCTAACCTCTCTGGTTGTCTTACTCTCTCTGTGTTCTCTTACTCTCTCTCTGTGTCTCTCGTTTCTCCTCTAACCTCTCTCTTTCTCTGTGTCTCTCTACCTCTCTCTGTGTCTTCTACCTTCTCTCTGTCTCTCTACCTCTCTTCTGTGTCTCTCTACCTTCTCTCTGTGTCTCTCTACCTTCTCTGTGTCTCTCTACCTCTCTCTGTGCTCTCTACCTCTCTCTAGTCTCTCATACCGTCTCTCTGTGTCTCGCGACTCTCTCTCTGGTGTCTCTCTACCTCTCTCTACTCCCTCGTTTTTGGCTCCCCCGGGGTCTCGCTACTGTCTCCTTCTCCTACTCTCTTACTCTCTTAACCTCTCTTGTGCTCTCTCTACCTCTCGCTCCTCTACCTTCTCTACTCTCTCTCTAACCTCTACCTCTACCTCTCTCTACCTCTACCTCTACCTCTCTCTACCTCTACCTCTACCTCTCTCTACCTCTCTCTACCTCTACCTCTCTCTGTGTCCTCCTTCTAATCCTTTCCTCAAACTTACATGCCATTTTGCCCATCTCTATTCTCACCGTGTAACGAGGTGTGCAATAGTATGATCCTATAATCTTTCTTTAAAATATTTCATGTATTGCCTCTAGTTTCCTCCTTTCCTTCCATCCTCAAATTTCTGCTTCTCACTTCAAAATAGATCAAACAATACCGCCTCCTCATACCCTTTGCCCAAAAATCCTTGCAACTTCTAATTATACTACACACTTGTTTCATAGCCACCATCCCTTCTTATCTTTTTCTGCTATGTGCTTTTAGTAGCACACTCTCTTGTTAAGCTAAAACCCTAAATGCTTAAAATCGTTCACCATTTCTAAAATACGTCATTTCCATGTAATTTTCTCAATCTTTTTAAACTACATTACTTTGGTCTTGTCCGTATTTAATCCAAGTTATCTATTCTCTAAAACTTTTATTTCCTTTACCTGATTTGTCTTTAGCATTAGCAGCCAATAATACCACATCATCAGCGTAAGATAAAGAGCAAATTTTTAGTTTACCAAAGAATAACCCACTTATTCTTCCTGATCACTTCCCACTGGTCCTTCTTTAACTTCTCTTCTCAAATTTCCCCCAATATAAATTGAAAAGTAGGGGCACCCAATGAGCAGTCCTGTTCAACCCCTTTATTGATGCTGAACTTACTGCTAAATTTACCTTCTGTCATCAACCTACAATTCGTTTCTTTGTATATTATTTTCAAGCAATTAATGATCTCACCAATTTCTAATTTCAGCATAAAGCTCCACAACTCTTTCCTGTTCAGAATGTCAAAGGCCACCTTCAGATCAATAAATACAGCCTATATGCTTCTCTTTTCAAGTTTACACTCCATTTCTGTAATAAGGTTCAATGAGTAAATATTGTCCACAAATCCTATATGACTTCTGAATCTTGTCCCCACTTCTGAACAACCTAAAATTGTACAAATATTAGAGCACTTGTAAATTTGAAAACGGAAAAGTGTGGATTTTATGTTTTAAAATAACATTAATTTTTTGAGGGAAGAAAATTGTAAGAGTCGTAATTACGTGTTATATTCGTTTATATTGGACGTCCTGAAAATATAACTGTACACATGACCTACTGGAATAGAAAATCGCAGGTTTGAAGTAATGGAGACTGCCCAGTTGAGAAGTGGTACGAAAATCAACAAGCAGAAAGGAACTACACGTTCTTGAGTGAGAACATTGGAACTCTAAACAGAGTGGTGTAATGAAGTGGAGTATTTGATGTAACAGATGCAATTTCTTATTGGAGGTGTATTAATTGAGGTCAGTACTACGAAAAATTAAATAAACTAGAATATGTGTGAGAGTGGGTTAATTGAAAGGTGAAGACATATATGAGTTACGTTATTGAAAATTGTGAAGTCAACTAAATGTTACATATTGATGCATATTATGTTAATGATAACTGTCAATTTAAAAAAAATAGATAATGTTCACAATGATTGTAATAATCACTGCATCATATCAGTTCCGCATTACATTTACAACAAAAAATTTTGCAAATAATTGTTATTTTTTGCAAATAATTTGTTGGAATTAGCTTGCTTCGGGGTCATCCACTACTTTTATACTAAATTATCTTCACACCTTTACACTAAGCGATTGTTTTAATTTCTTGACAATGTTATGCATATTAATCATGTAATGTTCCAGGCGGTTCACTCATATCTTGAAAAATCACGATAAGTTATGTTGTATAACTTTTTTTTGAATAAAAATATCTAGAATATCTGGGACAATGTTATCATTATAAGAATAATAGGTTGTGTGATTTGGAGCATGTATGTCAAAACTATTTCTTATGATGTATTGTTGTAATGGAATGCCTTGGGGAGTGTTTGAATTACAACCCCAAGCAAGCAATGAAACTAATTATATTTATAATAATAAAAAATTATCTTGTAATTGTGCTAAACTATTAAATTGTATTGTTAATTTTCCGGGTTAAATCTGCATTCATAAGTTCTTGATAATAGATAATAAACCTTCCAGCAGTAGCTTATTTAATAATTTATGATAATATTTCAATGGAGTAATTTAATAAGAGTTACTTCCCTAGTAAATTTATTAGGTTAAAAATGACTGCAGATTGTAAATAACGTCTTAAAAATAAGTTTTCAAATTATTTTTAAGGGCTTAAGATGCATTGTTTCAAAGTTATGTGTATGTTGTAAAATTATTGCATTTGCCTGAGCCAATGATTTCGTAACAATCTATTAAATTTCGCATACACGTATTTCATATTTTGTCTTAAATCTGTTTGACACAGCCCTGGATAGTAATCCTATAAACGTACATGCTTACAGAGTTGTTTTGATGACTTCTTAGAATTTCTAAATGTGCGTTTCGATGAAAGAGTTGTAATAGTAATGAATGAGTATTTTATTATATTCAACATATTAAATAAGTGGAATGATATTTATTTAATAAATGTAATTGGAAATGTCTTATGAAGAAATAGAAAGGAAAAACTACACATGTGAATTGATTGAATAATTGAATAATATTTAAAATCTTGTTTAATGATAAATAGCACTATTTACATGAGCAAAACCTGCACTACCTATGCTTATAACGAATTTGTACATACATAAACGCCGAAATACTGAATTCCTGATTTATAATAACTTATAGTGCAATCTTACAAGTGTAAAGCTCAGCCGTAATAGTTCTGCCGTTGATCACATTAATCTCTCACATCACTTTAAAAGCTTTGCACGCAGTATTTTCAGTTGTCCGTGAAATGTATTACTTTTCGCGTAAATCGAATAAATATTCTACTTTTCCTCCGAGGCGATCAATTTGCACTCGTATGCATTAACGTCGTGTGTATGAAAGAAACCACCATAAAAACGCTTCTCTACAGTCCTTTTAAAACGTGCGTATCACTAATTTTAATTGAAGTAGCACAGTTTGTCTTTCACCGAATGAAAGCTCTCGCGTAGATCCGGCAAAGTTACAAAAAAAATTAAACAGAGATGTGTAACATAGCCGTTCTTCTTGTAACTGACATAGTGCCAGTCCACCCGAGGCATCAGTTCACGGCCTCGTCTTGCGGCTGGCGCGAATGTTTCGGATCGATGAAAGCCACGTGCGGGGGCGGACGCAAGTGTTACACGGCGACGTCCACCGCGGCGTTATCGTGGCCGGCGTCGCGGCGGCTGGGCTTCTTGGCGTCCGCGTCGCTGGGGGCGGGGGCGGGCGGGTCGCCCGCCGGGATCAGCCCGTCCTCTGCCCAGGGCTGTCGCTCGGCCGAGCCGAAGATTCCGAAGGCGGTGGCCCCCAGCAGGTACAACCCCGACGTCACGTAGAAAACGATCCGCCACTCCGCCGCGCTCTGCAAGGGAAAGTTTTCAAATTCAGCCTTCTGCTGCAAGATAGCATTGCATGGTTTTCGGATCCAGTTTAGCATAGGAGAAACGCATTTGTTGAACACAATACTAGCTTATGACAGCGTGGAAGAGAAATGTTTTAAGAACATATTGATACCCAGAAAACAAACTGAAACATTAATAGTCACTTTGAAACCAAGCTCTCCATTTTCATTTGTGAGTGACTCGTTCAGTCATAACAATAAATTCAACAACAATTCAATGAAAAATCAATAAACGCCGAGTTTCCCTTCTTTACCAGAAGCGGTCATTAAGCTTGTGGTCGCTTAACAACTTTTTATGCGTATATGTCGCATCATGAACATTTTCCGGCAACCCACCAACAACTATATACACCTAGCCAACCACTTTGCCAAGATAACGCCCAGAAGACGTCGCCACAAATGGGAGTTTCGCAACCAACAACGTAAATAAGTAACATGCATGTGCCTTCGCTTAAAAGGCCAAGAATTCGGGTCCAACATATGCCTCCTGGGTGTAACCTAATCTCAAAACAACCATCTCTCTTCTCCTGACAAATTGTCAACATATAACATTCCAACAAGCAACAGATTTTCACACCTCTAATTCCGATGCAGCCGAAACAGTTTCCAGTGATCGGTTCCATTCAGGAGAATTAAAACTATCCCCCAATACTTATCTACGATTCACTAGTGCATGCAGATCCATTAGAAAAAATAAGAGAGTCTTTTCAAACATTCAAATTTAAATACAAGAGTCCGAGGAGCATATATAGAAGTTATGGTCAACACAATCTATGATTACACCACAATACTAAGAACGCTCTCAACAAAAATAATATTACCATACGTAGCGAGATCCAACAAAATCGACTATTTCAGTAGTGTTAAGAAATGTACCAGTCTCATACACATAAGATGAAATCTTTCAAGAACTCGTCAGCTAAAGCTAACCTGTAATAATAGTCATAAGATTCAACAGTATAGAATAAATACACCACGCAATCAATGTATTTACTCACATCATACTAGATACATCATACTAGATGCATTAGATTTAACAGTCCCATCAACAAGACCCTCCTCTCCACTCACACCCATTCCGCCCATTCGAAAAAATGTATCCACCACAAACGGCATATAAGAAATCACTGGCAGAAACACCGATCTCCATGTCTAAAATTGAACCTAAACCTATTCACCAAAATTGAGAGAAAACTCTTAGCCATCACCCATGCTCAAAAGTTACATTTCCAAACACAAATGGCAAAAACATCAGACCACTCTTTATGGAACATAATACTGCGTATCTTGAAGAAGCCTTTCAATATACCCCCTCTCACCACTTCAACGGGTACAGCATCATCACCGTCTGAAAAAAGCGAAGTGTTAGGGAAATGTTTTGCTGCATCATTCCCACCCCACCCTACCCCACCAACAACACTGAACATGACAACTTCATCGCAGAAGAAATATTAAGACCAATAATAACTGTACCAGAATGTTAAAAATTCATTTTTCTGTTAGAAATCATTAAATATATTTCTCTGTTAGCTCTCAAAGTATCAAACGATTTCGACCAAATCTCAGCATCGTCTTTCTAAAAATGTATTTTACACATTACAACAATTTTCAATGCACCTACTGAGAATGTCATACTTCCCCATAAATGGAAATATCATTCCTAACCCAGAGTCAGAAAGACTAAATGTCTCAGGAAACTACCGTCCAATCAGTATGTTATCCTCCTTGGGAATATTACTCGAAAAAAATGCATCCTCACCAGACTTAACACTCACCTCACCTCAGTAAATATAATACCATCTCATCAGTTTGGATTCCAACCTCAGTTTTCTACGTGCCACCAAATATTACGTTTGACAGAGGACATAATCGAAGGTTTCATTGATCATAATCATTCAGTAGCAATATTCTCTGTCATTGCAAAAGCGTTTGATACAGCATGGCACCTAGGAATGATATTAAAACTCCGGAACATTGGTATCTCCCCAGTCTCTTTCATGCATTATAGGTTTCCTTAGTGAACGTACTTTTTCAGTGCGGTTTGACGGCGCACTCCCAACACCATGTCCCATCAAATCAGGTGTTCCACAGGGTTCGAGTCTCTTCCCAACCCCATTCAATAACTACCTAGTTGATATATCCACCACGCCATTTACATCCTTTTCCACCTTTGCAGATGACACAGCAACCTACTCCACAAAACCGAGTCGTAGAAACAGCATTAGAGAATATACGAAATCATTTCAACGCATTTTCCGATTGGTCACAAAATAGCATACTTAGATAAACGCAAGCAAGAATTAAGGAAAAATATTCACTCTTCGAAGACTCCTCGACCCACCCACACTTACCTATCAAAACTACAGCATAGCATGGATTCCTGCGAACGCCACGGCAAAATACCTACGAGTATTATTCCACAGACAACTGACATAGACATCAAATATCACGCACAGAATTGCAGTAGTCACTAGAAGAACACACCAGTTATATCCCTTACTTAAGAAATCATCCCCACTTCAATTACACACATCAATTCATCTCTACCAAACAGTGATACGACCTATATTATGTTGTGCATCTCCAATCTGGGCCGCAGCATCCAAAACCAATATTCACAAAATTCAAACCTTCCAAAATAAATACCTAAGAATAATCACAAAAGCACCCTGGTTTATCCCTAACTCTCAACTCCATCAAGAACTCGGTATCATCCCCATCACTGTACATTTCTCCCATCACTCCGCAAAATTCTTTAACAAAATTTCTCAAATACCTTCAGCTACCTATTTTAAACTAGGAAAACAGAACCCTCAGCATAAACATTTGGAAAGGAAATTACTCAGAGAATTTTTTTAACCCTCCTTAAGCAGACTGGAAACAATTAGCCTTTCCGTGTAATATAAAATGCTTCGGAAACGAAATGACCACAATAAAAATATATCAAGTAAACTTGGTGTATAAAAAATCAACTACTATATCAGTCGTTCACAGTTTCTGAGGGCCACAGACCAAACAAGAATTAATTTAAAAATCCATTTCATTACAATGTATATGGAGTTCAATTGTTGCTCCCTTCTCCACAAAAAAATTTTATAATATTTTGCAAGATATATTAACTCTTTCTAGAGCCAAATATCCCTTAAGAAAGCATAAAAATGCGTATTGAATGTATAATATAATTACACAATATTTTATGAATAATTTGGATAATCTCAAGTGTATCCATGTGAGAGATGTATTTAGAAATGAAAACTTAAGCGTTGATTGTTTTGCAATACGTAATATATTGCGTTTCTAAAATGAAACGACCAACAATTTGCACGTGATTTGGCTCTGATGAGAGTTTAAAAACATTAAGCTGTTACCATTGGTGGTTCTGCTCATAGATCCCAGATAGTGCGATTCAATTAATTTTTTTACGTAATTCAACTCGCAAATTAAACTAACGGTCAGCTAAAAGATTCTATTTGTACAATATTTCATTATTTTAATAGTACAATATATTTGATTAAGGTAGGCCTTCGGAGCTACTGAAACAATTTGATACATTTCATTACACAAGTAATCCTAACTTGCATAGGCAGCACATAAAAATTGTAATTTGCGTAACTCAATTGCGTACAAGATGCTGTTCAATTAATGTCAGACTAGGTTTCGGGGTTGAAGTACTTGTTCATGTATCATCCTCTTTTTTAAAACAAAATACAATGGAATCAATTTGACGACCATTCCCACATTCGTTAGCTTGTTTGGAAGTAAAGATATCCACAGGATTTATTTGTCATTATAATTTCATATCCACATTTTGTAGTGAAAAATCCGCCTATTTCATCCAGTACTCCCTAGAAAAACCAATACCGTCTGCATAAATAGTGAATAACTATTGATGTTAACATTTAGATCATTCTACAAAACAAATCTTCTCTGTTCATTTTTATCAAAGAATAACTGGGGACATCCAGGAATGTGCCCATTCTTTAATAAAAATACGAACTTGACTTTAATTTCTTCAAAGAGACTTTCATATTGTGTTATTTGTTTAAAAAATTGCCAATAAATCAAATGGCATATGTCACTATCGACTGATGATCAGATGAATGTCATTTTTATTTTCTGATTTCCAAACGAAATACTCGTTTTGTTAATTTTATGCGTATAAATAAAACCTTTTACTTAAAATATGTAAATGGCTTAACGAGTACGATAGAGAAAACCTCAATCTTTGAAAAACTTTCTCTAAATGTAAATATTAGAAAGTCACATGTTTCGAGAAAGGCACAGTAGTAAAGTGCTACTTACTCTGCGAAAGCACTAACATACACTATGTGCTGGCAATGAATTAATAACTTGACAAACCTAATCAAATGCTGATAAAATAGTTATTGAAATAGAATTTCAATATTCAGGTATTTCAGAATTTAAATTTTATTTAGTTGAATAAAGGAAACTATTCTCCAATAAACTTTCCCCTTCTTTTGGTCATTCAATCTATTGTCGGACTGACGTCTACTATAATCTACGAACTAATATTTACTAAATTATTCTCTTCTTCATTTATTTTCTGATAAGAAAAACTCTTTTTGAAGCGGAAAGGGCATTTGATTTTCAGCAGGTTTGAGGCAAGAACTTGTATGTAAAAGTAGATTCCAAACTGTATGTAAAAAATATTTAACAGAAACGTAAATTATGCCCGACTAAAACCATATCACGTCGACCAAACATTTTGAAGAAAGCTGAAAAGTTTTCATCTTAGTAATATCTGTGTCGAGTCAGTATGCAAACATTAAACAATAAAACAAACTTCCTAGATAGTAGAAAAAACAATTTTTTATCGTTTCATATTAAAATTATATGCTAGTATTACTTTAAATTAGTAATCAATGTCGTTTATATACCAATATTTGTTATGAAATCATTACTTCACTTTACTTTAGTTCGTATTACATATTTACAATATTACAGTTTATAACCCCAGTTTTGTGTCCATTGCTCGGTTGACCACACTAGAATTGAACGAGGGTACAATGAAACCGAGCAATGCCACATGTGCGAATGCTCCATTAGAAAGCATCTTCGCGTTTGTGATGTGGTGCGGAGCGGAGGCGCTGTGTACCTTGTTTCGCACGATGAAGCCCGTCAGCTGGGGGCTGAGGATGCCGGAAGTGTTTGCGATGGTGCTGCTCACACCAGCCAACACGCTCGCGTGGAGTGGCGCCATGTCCAGCGTATTCACACTGCCCACACGCCCACACACAATAGTTAAAATAAAAACACAACAAGTACATAAACAAATAAACAAACAAATACACAATAAATTACATAAAAACAAATAAATTAATACATAAATTGTGACATACCATAAATTCTCCCAGGCGCTAAATCCGAGGCGCAGGAAGAGAAAGTCGCGATCGCGGACTGCATTAATTGAGTAGATCGGGTCATAGAATGATATTTTCAAACAGGATTTTCGGGGAATTATACAAGAATTCTCCCGCTGCCAGAATTTACGACGATAGCAGGTGCATCACGAGAACGTACCGTTGACGGCATACGGACGGAAGACATCTTGCTCGTAACGTAAGTCACGTAACGCCACGTAAAATAAGGCAAATTCAATTCAATTCAATCTTGAAGACCGGCGTAGAAGATATTTCCGTAGGCTTACGAACATTTATACAAGAAATATCGTTCGGAATTTGTGAATATACAAATTAAAGATAACTTAAATCGTTAATGAGCTCCAAGACTAAAAAATGTAAACCTGCTGCATAAATGTTAACTCTTTATTATCAAACAAAGTAAAAACGCTGATAATTTGTGTGATCATTTTTTAATAACAAGATAATGCAACAGGACTTCCAGGAATTGCAGCTCTATACAGAGTCGCAAGTCCACATGTAATAGACAAATAAGGAGGTAAAGTATATGTCGAACCCAGGTTAATAAAGTCAATCTAATGTTTGAAATAGCAAAATAATTATTGTAATAAATGTACTATTAACCGTGCAACATAAATAGTCATTACATTAAATTTGTAAAATCGTAAACCATCACAAATTGCTGCCCAAACTGGGGCAGAATAAAACAATTAATAATTAGTGGAAATTAGTTAAATAAATTATCTCAAATAAATAAATAAATAAAATAAATTAAAAATAAATAAATAAAAAATAAATAAAAAATAAATAAATAAAAAATAAATAAATAAAAAATAAATAAAAATAAATAAATAAATAAAAAATAAAAAAATAAAAAAATAAATAAAAATAAATAAAAAATAAATAAATAAAAAATAAATAAATAAAAAATAAATAAATAAATAAAAATAAATGAATAAATAAAAATAAATGAAGTCTTTATTGATGGGGGTAAGCTTTCTGGTGTACTTTTCCGTCTGATCATTTTCAAACATTTTGTTCAAAAGTAAATAAGAGGTCATTAAAAAATAACATAAGGAAAAAGAATTTTTCTTTCAAATTGTGACAAGAACAAAACTAGGGAAGAATGCCACTTGGAATCAACCCTGTATCTATAAATCATACTCTGTTTGGTTGAACTGTGCAGTATTTTTTATGTAAATAATTTTCAAATCAATTTATATTCCAAGAATTGATAACTCAAAAAATAATAATGCAACTGCACTTTCTTCCCAATAAATTTAATTTTCAAATAAATTGCTTATAAATAATTCTGTAGGAGTAATGAAATGTCTAATTATGTAACGTCTTACATAATGCATTGATACATCAACCGCTGACATCCATTACTTGAATACGAGCGAATAATTTCCTGTTGCAATTAATAATCTTGTTTTCTGAATTTTGGGGGAAGAATCTCTTGAATACTTCTTGATAGTTCCCTATTGGAAATTAGAGAATGCTTGCCTACGATCGACATTAGAACTGGTTTACGTAGGCGGCGATTTCTTTTATTGGAACAATCACTATTATAAATGTGATAATATACTAAAAATATACAATTTTAAAGAGTAAGGTCGAGGTAGGTTCATTGTTTTCTTATCTGCTATCTTATTTTATTAACTTGAGAGGTACAGGTCTTTAAGTTGCTCAAGACAAATGAAGTTAATTTTCTTAAAAGGATAACATTTTTATTTGAAGTGGTATACAAATAACGTGAAAAAAAACTAAATAATTGTATTTGAATTATTAACTCTGTTGATCATTTTTAAATGATTTAATATTGCTCCTTCCCCTACAGATTTTTGTCTAAATAAAAAAAATTAGTTCAGGAGGGTACACGAACGTTCGACCACTCAAATAAGTATAATAACGACATGCCGGCAGTAGAGGTTCCTGCCCGCGGGTCTCCTCCCGCGTAATTACCTTTTCGCAATGATGGTCGTTCACAAAACATAGGCTTGGTCATTCTCAAGCCACTGCCTCAACTGCCTCGACTGCCGTTAACTGTTCCAAGTACCGCTTGACCTCGAGATGGACCGAACCCGTTATGTTTTTTCTTCTACATGGCCCAATTTGTGTTGTTCATAATCTCTCGTACAACATGTGAATTCAATATCATTTTAATTGAAATTTATTTCATAGACATCAATTCAAGGATCATTCAGTTATTTCTCGATTAGCTATTATTACTGTCATTAATAATTAATTACTGGATTTCAGACCATGTTCAATGAAATTAGGGGAAATGGATTTTCTACGTTTATTATGTTAACTATATCACATTAATCGATTATTAAAATATTATTTCTCAAAGAAGGTACTACATGGATCCTGCTTAATTTTGCCCTAATTCGTCATATAATGTGTAACGTTCTAATAAGAAACTACTCAATTTCAGTTTCTTAAGTGGAGGCACGTTTCCATTTGTTTTTCGGTAATATTTTCCAAGGAACATTTTTGGTATCTGTCAACGATATTATGTAGTTGATCGAGCATGAAATGATGTTTGAAATTAATAACTGAAAAGAAACTTGGCTATTAGAGTCCCCAGAGTTTCGATAGGTCTGTACTACTACAAGATGTTTTCTAGTATTTTAAATGTTTTGAACAACATTTAGAAAACCGAAAAGAAACTTCAACATTTGGAAAACTGAAAAAAACTGAAAATTACTACAAACTTCAACCTCATAATAAAGATGAATGAAGTGACGTTGGGATAGCGTACTGTAAAAGAGTTTTAATAACAATTACTGCGTTTTGGTTTCCCGCAATTGCAAAACCTAAAATTACAACTTCAACTTGTTTAAATACATCAGCTCTAGTGGTATGAGAGTTAGAATACCGGCTTAAATGTTCGAATAAACCCGAGTTTGAGGATTCAAAACCGGCTGAAAACGGTAGGTTTTCAAAGTGAGGAAATTCCTCATAGTGACAAGCAAACCTTACGGCTTGTAAAAGAACGCTAGATAAATTCATATAAATAATTAAATCTTTCGACAATTTCCAGCCTAAGCCAATCATATAACCAGGGAACGTCGTGGGTAAAGGAAAAAGAATTTGTAAGGCGAGAAAATAAAAACACTCACTACCCAGTTCTTGTGCCTGTCCCTGTAGGCGAACACAGAAGTCATAAATCAGTTAGTAGGGTCCAGAGGCTATGAGATCATCAAATTTAATATTGCCCTACTACCCTACCACTCATCCGTAGGCTGGAGGTGGGCAACTGACAAGTTCCCATATCCCAGGAGTGACACAATTTCATTAACACCCTGCTTCTTACTACGACGTCATTTCGAGAGCATCGTTTGAAATTGTATTCTTAAGAGTGCGTGAGCGCAGGGGGAGGGGCACTGACCAGATGACGGCGTAGGCGAAGGCCTCCAGGGCGACGCCCAGGGTGAGGCAGGCGACGACGGCGGTGGGGTCCAAGAGCGCCGTGCTCAGCAGCAAGCAGCCCGCCTGAAGCACGAAGGCGCCGCATAGGAACAGCTTGCGCACCTGTCACACGCCAACAAGTCACTGAGCACGCGGGGGCACAAGAGGTTCACCTCCAGCGAGGTCCAGTACGCAACATACTCAATTTTATGCGTAGATTACGAATGTCACAATAAAACCTTAAATCACATGACAGTTTTTAATATACCGTATTTTTATACCGTATCATACCGCATTTCGCTATTAATACAAATACATTTAAATTGCACCTGTAAGATATGTAGAATCAGTACGCATAGAATATATTTAAAAATAAAATATTTGGTCAATTAATCTCTGCCACTTGCATGAGAGATCAATAAAATTTGACTTTCTTCTTGTTTTTTTACCCTCTATATTCGAGGGTTGCCGTTTTTATTCTCGCGTCTAGTAGTCGCATTCAATAACGAGTAGGTCTTAGTGGATGTTTTGAAAACAAGTCATGTGCACCCTCATATTTCCGACTGTGCAACAGTAACAGAAATGAATTATTTTAGCTCCTTACCTTATCGAAAGAATGCAAATACTTTCGGGTGGTTGTATCCGAGACAGATGGTGTCATGCGGAACTGTACCCGCAGTACGCATGAAGTTCGTGTCTGGTTTGCATGTGCATCAAATACATTAACACATTACAGTTCTGTGGTATTTATAAATTGAAATTCGAACATAATCTATAGAATTGATTCGGTTCGATTAAATGCAAATCGTTATTTCACATCGAAAGGGTGAGAATCAACCCGATAACTTCTTTTGTGGAAGATTTACACATAAACTTCAAAGGGGAAAATATATTAAATTACAAAACTTGGTTATTCTTTACACTTTGGGTGTCGTATTTGTGATCAAGACTAATCATGGGCTGCTCATCAGTATTGTACCACCTGTACAACGAACCTTAGGTTGTGGTTGTATGGAAAACTGCAAACATTGTCATACCAATGTGGCGAATACCAACAAACCATTGTTATGTCTGCATGTTATTGCACGAATATGTGTATTCCGTTTTAAACTTTTTCTTATCTTACGAGGAGGATGCTCAAGCAATTTTATAGTAAATAACCGGAATGACATCGCGGAAGTTAGTGTAGGATTTTGTTAATTCAAATACTAAATACGTTGATATCTTTTTATCTTTACGTGATAGAAACTATTTAGCATAATGATTTTCTAAATCAGTGTGATCGTTTCTTTTTAAATCACATACTTTTATCCTGGAGGTAAGAAAACAATATTGTTCCCTAGTGTTATTTAGGGTTTCCGGAAGCGTCAACAACTATAGTCTTTACTTTCGTAAGAGTAATTTATATTGAAATCCTTTGTTTCACGTCCGCTGGAATA